TTTGGATTTTTTTTTTTTTTTTTTTTTTTTTTTTTTTTTTTTTTTTTTTTTTTTTTTGGAGAAAAAGGGTAAGAAAAACCGTTTTCAATATTTAGATCCGACATGTTCAGAGCGTTTTTCTAATAAAACGTCTTTCACGGAAGTTGATCAAAATGATGCTCTATAAGATATCCTTCCATCTTTTTTCTTTCTAAGGTTGTCATGTTGTTGCACTAGAGTGACAAATAGGGTTGAGAGAGCCAGTAATGGAAAGATCCCAACTTTAAATATGCTAATATTAGCAATCCAATCCCGGGCTTATGAACTGAATGTGCTTTTTAATAAAAATGTTAGCATTGATTAGATGTTTTTAACGCCCTGTTATTTCATTAACAAAAACTTTGTTTTTAAGTAACAATCCTAATCAGTATGTGTGTGAAAAAGGCTATGGTAGTCAAAGCGAGTATAGCTGGACGATATTTGACACGTACTCATTTTTAACATTATGTGTTGTATAAAACAAATTTCTTATGTCATTAAAGCAAACACGAGATTTTTATGCTTATAAAAAAAAAACGTGTAGGATTACTTATCTTTAAAGAATGATTATGATTTGATGTAGGATGAAATCATAAAGAGATAATGATAAGCCTTTTTGGACTTGAACTAAAATTGTTTTCATCATTAATGAATACATCATGCATAAAGATTTGATGCTGATGGCTTTCGTCTTATGAGACTTTGCCTAATAATTAATTGTATAAACACTCAATGACAGCACATCTTCCACTCACACTAGTTGCTAATATAGTTGTTTTATAAGTTTAACTTTGGTTGTGATTGGTAAAATCTACTTCATTCTTAAAATATTTTAGAGTTAATTTCATTTTAATTCTAATACTTTTAACGATTTGAATTTTAGATCAGATATATTACCGTTTTGATTTTCGTAGTCGTGTGACGTTTTATAGTTAGATTTGATTGTTTTAGTACTCGAGAGTAGTTTTTTTCCCCCAAAAGTTTAAGTGGTATTAGTGTCATGTCTTTATCTTAACTTAGTCATGTCAATTTAATCTTCAAAAGTGTAGTCATAGTGGCTTTAAGTGTCGAACAAAATGTTTTGAACTTTGAAGATGTAGTCATAGTGAAGATCCAAGAAGTTGTGACCTTGAAGGTGTCTTTGTGAGTCTCGAAGGTGTAGGATCATAGTGAAGATTCGTGGTAGAGTTCTCCAAAGAAGAGGAGTTGTCCAGATAGTTTTAGACAGATAAATGATTGTTTAAGAGGAAGCTTAATGGTATATTTTGTTCTAGAGGAGGATTGTTTGAGTCCCATGTTGGCTAATTGAGAAAAAAAGGATATATAAGTAAGAGATACTATCTCCATTGATACGAGTCTCTTTGGAAAAACCAAAAGTAAAGTCATGAGAGCACATAAATTTGAACCTCTAATCTTAAGAGAAGGAATACATGTCAATTACAGGGGCCCTTCCTAGCTTATTCTTCTCTTTCTTCGGCAAACAGGATCAATAAGGATGATGGGAACTAACCTGCCTTAATAGTTTTCAAAGTTTGTCACAGTTTTGTCTCTTATTACTCTTCGTAAGAACACTAAAATAAGATGTGAGATCCCACATCAGTTGGAAAAAGAACGAAACATTCCTTATAAAAGTGTGAAAACTTCCCCTATCAAACACGTTTTAAAATCGTGAGGCTGACGACGATACGTAATAAGTCAAAGCGAACAATATCTACTAGCGATGAACTTAGGCTATTACATAAGATAAAGGAAGACACGGTTCATCCTCCCGGGGGAATACTTTATATTTTGGATACCTCTTTGGTCTCATCCGATTTTCAATAAAGACAAGAGATGGTTGGAATGATGGATATATAAAAGAGGTAAGAATAAAATCTTTGTGGGGTATATTAAAACTATCTAATTGATGCATATTGTCACTAAAAAAATGTATAAATCACTATTTTATGATATCTTTCAAGAATCAATATGAGTCACATTCTCATCTTCAATAAAGTCGTACGCTTACATCTCATTCTCATATCCAAAAGATGCTCTCAAGATCAAACACTCACGTGGGTGTTTCCTTTTCTTTTGTGGCTTTGCTATTCACTAGACTACCTTATTTTAGGTTAACAAATGTGGACGTTTCGAGATTTATATTGATGTAAACTACCGTTAAACTAAGATCGTACTGATTTGGACAGTACTTAC